AATATTCTAGGATTTTACAAGTTGCATCTTCAGGCTATGTCTTTTCCTTCAGTAATTGCCAAGTAATTGACTATAAAGCTACACGGAAATGAAATCTAAGTACTTCTGAGGAAGTACTTGGCATCTAAAAGGAAAACATCTGGATGATGGAAATTGACCACCGTCATCGCCGATGAAGAGGTATATGGAACAGGCATGTCCTTTGACCTTTATGGGAATGTTTAAAAAAAAAAATCGAAAAGCATCAGATCGTTTATAATTAGCATGACTTCTTCCGGAATGCTCATGCAACCCAGAAATCCCCGGCATCATGCCACGGCATCATGCATCAGTCCCTGGAAAAAATGTCATGACCTTTTCCCCCCCCCCCCCCCCCGATTCCCGGGAACCGCGCGGGACGCCACGTGGTCCTTCCCCTGATCCATCCGGATTAATCCACTTTCGTAATCCCTCCCGTGTCACGCGATCCGCGAGGGAATGTCACGGTTGGGGAGGAAGGTCACGGCCGGGGAGGCATGTCATCCGCGCGTCCTCGAACGGAGGCCGCCTTCAGCCGCTTCGTCGTCCTCGCACCGACGCTCCTCGATCCCGGAGATTGCACGGAATTTCCCTTCTCCCATCGCGATCGACCTTCTCGGGGCCGGTCTTGCCAAGCGGCTAGAGGTAAGGACTTGCCAAGCGGCTAGCGGTAAGGACTTGCCTGGCACATGTTCGATATGATCTTTCGATGAATGGGATATTACAGTTGCTTTTTTTTTAGGTATGGCAGCCGATAAACGAACGTAGCTTTGTGTTGTGTTGTGTTGAACCACATTACGAATTTCTGCGAGATTTGTTTATGCTTCTCATAGATTCCTGAATTTCCTTCCAACTTGCATAAATCAAGATATTCGAAAAATAATGATTTATTGCATTCGTAATTAATGCTGGCGATTGTGAGCTACAGCATGAAGCACATCTAGTAAGTAATTTATACAGGACCCCTTTGTGAATATTTATGCTAAAAAGTGTTTTCTTTATTTGATATATTTCAGAATGAAGCAGAGAAGATCTGATAGGACTCGTAAATTCCTATGGGCTTTCCATCTGATGCAAGAAGTTCCCATTTGACATGCATAGTATGGGAGTGGTACTTTCCTGGTAAGTCCGATTGGATTTTCCGTCTTTGTTGTGTAGGATACTGATCTTTTTGCCGAAATTTGCCGAACAAAATTTTGGGAACACGTTCATCGCCTTAAATCATGCATTGCTGATCTTTTTTCTCTCAGGATCTTCAGTAATAAATTATCCAGAGGTTTTTATGCCAAACTAGTTCGACAAGCGGTAAGGAACGAATAAACCATGCTAATATTTGCGCAACCCCCATCTCTAAAATTCAAGCGAGAATGCCCGTTCACCAACACTTTCAACCCGATCCGCGTCCAGGCGCGGAAACGGAGGCAGGAGGTGGATGGGGCAGGAGGTGGATGGGGCAGGAGGTGGATGGGGCAGGAAGTGGATGGGGCAGGAGGTGGATGGGAGCAGGACGTGGATGGAGGCAGGATATGGAAGGAGGCAGGACGGACGCGAGCGTGAAGGGCAAAGGGGAACGCCCCCCCAGGGTGGGGGGGACCCGCACTCTGCCTCGACAAGATTCAGGCAGACGTCTGTGGCTCTCCTGAACGCTTCCTGTGACAGTGACTTCGGAGTGACTCATCCTGACTGTGTCTTCTCGGTGCCGCGAGACTTCAGAAAAATTGGAATGTCGAGAATATAGAAGTGCACTCAACGTCTTGTGATCGGAAATTAGACTTGACATAATGTGGCTCTACCCTAAACAAAAATTAAGTTTTGGAGAAATAGCATGCACTTCCGATTTTTCTTTGCCCCTCCCCCATTTCTTGCCCCCCCCCCCCGGATCGTACAAATCCTTAATGTACAGTGAACATAACTTTATGAGGTGTCTGACATTTACTTTCCAGAATTCAATAAATTAACAAATTGAAATCAATAGACTTTTAAAAAGGGGGGAATTCGGTTAAGATGGAATTTTCGATATCATTAACATGGTCCTGCTGAGATTGGCCCAGAAAACGTGACTGTAGCAAGCAGCCAATTTTCAGCAAAAAGGGTCTTCCTGCAATACGAATCGCCAATCGAGGATCTGGACTAACAGAAATTTACTCCCAGTTTCGTTTCCACGGTACCTCAAATTAAGTTTTTTTTTTTCCTTCCAAAAGATTCTGCTTCATCACCTTTATATTTTGTTGTAAGTGAAATTGTTAACATCATCATCGGGCGCTCAATATCTGCTGGACCACTTAATGTAAACGGTCCCATAGGTAAAACCTAATGTGAAGGTGCCGAGAACCGGTTTTTCTGTGGGATATCTAAGAATTTGAGGATTTCTCTTGGGAAAGAAGAAGCTTGCTGGACAATTAAAAGTGTACTGTGCGAATAAATATATATTGTGCGATTAAACGTAAATGGTACGATTAAATGTACAAGGTGACCCGCAAAAATTTCCTCCATCTTGAGTATCCTTGAAAATGAAAGTTTTCAATATATTACAATAATCATTTCACTGCAATTACATTTTAAAAACCTCTACATAATTGTATTTCTAAAAACGACATGAACATGTGTTACATATTGCGCACTCAACTTCCTCGTCTTATCGCATGTTCGACCCAGGCACCTGGGTGCTGGATCACTGCTGCGACCCGAACATTGAAGGTATCAATTACCCTGTCGTAACATTTCTCCCGGAATCCGCCTGATCTCCCTCCGATTGTCGGGTTTGAATGCTCCAAGGGTTTGACGTTTACTTCCTCTCCAGATGACTTCCATTTGGGGATGCTTGAAGGGGAGAGCGTATGCCAATAACCCTCAGACCCTGAGAACATTGAAACCCAGCATTCGGAAGGAGATCAGGCGAATTCCGGGAGAAATGTTGGACAGGGTAATTGGTACATTCATTGTCCGAGTCGCAGCATTGATCCAGCGCTGAGGTGCCTGGACTGAACATAATATGATTTTATGCAATTGAATGTGCAATGTGTAACACATGTTCGTGTCCTTTTATAAAGTAAAATTCTTTTTTTTTACATTGCAGTGGAATAATTATTGTTGTATATTGAAAATCATTATTTTTGAAGGTATTCAAAATGGGGAAAACTTTTTTTGGGATCACCCTGTACTGTATATTGTGCGATTAAGCATTCCCTGTAATTTAACATATACTGTGCAAGATCGTCGGGTGCCTATTATGGCAGGAATTCGGCGCATGGCACTAGTTAAATTAATTTATATGCACTGACCGACAGAGACTAATGTTACTTTCTGCATATCCTAACATATCATTATGACTTCTAGGTGAATTCTAGTCGGTCTGAGAAATTAACGACGGGGATTCGCATAAATAGAGGGAAAATTGAATGCAATCATTTACCAAAAAAAATATTTAAATAAACCATCCCAAGGCCGTTAACACGTAACGCATTGGCATTTTACATGTTACCATTTAATATGTATAAGGAAGGGAAAGGCGGCGGCGATAGCGCGAGGATTTCCGAGGAAGGCTCGGGGAAGTCCCCGGAGAAAGGCGGTTTTTCGAGAAGGGGCCTGGGAATCCCGGACCGGAGAGATTCCCAGGAAAGGCCGTTGAAAGATCATTGAAAGATCGTTGAAAGGGATTGCATCGTGTTGAATCTCTCCAGGAACTCCGCCGGTGACTCGCTCGGGTAACTCCCCACCTTCGCCTTGCCGATCTGCTAGAAACTTACGATTTTGCAATGAATTTGCAATGAATTTGCAATGAATTTGCAATGAACTTGCAATGAATTTGCAATGAATTTGCAATGAAATTGTAATGAATTTGCAATGAATTTCCGATGCATTTGCAATGAACTTGCAATGAATATACAATGAATTTGCAATGCATTTACAATGAACTTGCAATGAATTTGCACTGATTTTTGCTCCAAGGGCTGCTGTCAACACCTTATGTTTCAACATTGTTGCACCTTTCCGAACCGTTCCCACCAGGCGCTACGCTAAATAACAGGCACCTGGGACATTGAGCGAAAGAGCAACCGGAATTGATGAATTATCTTTCAGGCTGAATCTCCCCCCCCCCCAAAAAAAAAAAATCGTGTCCTTTGATGTGATCTTTGACATGAAAAGTGACTCACAGACATTGATTCTAAACATTTTGTATTTCAAGACCTTTGACCTTTGGCCTTTGGCCTTTGATGTCTTTCCTTCAATGGAGAGCCCTGCACTCGCGAATCGCGCCTCAACAATTCCGAATCTGTAAAGATCAAGCGCGAGGCATTCCCCAGAAGTCGTTCAGGATTCCAAAGTCATTCGAAATGAGTCCCTGACCAGTCTATCTGTGTAATAACTATTCACCACTGACATTTGAATTCGACCTTTGACCTTCGGTGGCATGAGCCTCAACTTTGACTTCGCCAAGTCGATTTCGATAAGGGATTAATGTTTATTCATTACCACCCAGAAAGTAACCATGAAGCGCCAATTTTTGGATTGGATTTGACAGTCTTACGAACGGAATTGGCAATTTTGGGGACAGAATTGGCAATTTTTGGAAAGGAATTGGCAATTTTGGGAACAGAATTGGCAATTTTGGGAACGGAATTGGCAATTTTTGAAACAGAATTGGCAATTTTGGGAACGGAATCTGATAGCACTGAAGGTGAGGGGTGCACGTGGTATTATCATAATTAAAATCCGAAGGCACAATAATTGTCTCCTCTCATTTACGTCTACTTTAATCCGAATTCTCGATCTCCAAAGGAAATATATGTATTCGTTGCAAAAGGGAGGAAACATACAAGTGCATTAACATTAAGCAGAGAAATAACATAAATCACATACGCTGAAGGCCGTTAGAGAACCATTTACCACCTATGCATTTTCTTTGTAGTTTTTATTTTGGTGCAATCGGCAGGAAAAGCCACGAGCAGCCAACGGAATGACCGAACAAAGGTAGAAGGTAGATGGCGAAAAGATGGTGGATGGCTGACATCCTTCCCAAGGAAGCTTACGAACAATCGAAACGACTTCGCTCCGGCACGACTTCTCTTTCGATCCGAGGAGAAATGGGGAAAGACCATTCCCAACCTTGGAGGAAATTTCGGTGAGACTTCGCGCGTCGATTCATGGAGGATGAGAAGTGTCGCAACATTTTAATTTCTTATTCCAATTCATCAACCATATTCATCAACCATATTCATCAACCATATTCATCAACCATATTCATTAATCATATTCATCAATCATATTCATCAACCATATTCCTCAACCATGTTCATCAACCATATTCACCAACCATATTCACCAACTATATTCATCAACCATATTCATCAACCACATTCATCAACCATATTCATCAACAAAATGTACCAACTATGCTCATCAGCCAAATTGTTCGACGAATGTAAGGTCTTGTAAAATCCCGTCAAGAGTTCACTATTATATTCCTTTCAGCATTCGTCCTTTGTGCACCACTCTGCTTATTACTGCTATATCTTCGCACGTGGAATTGCGCATCAAAGTATCGAAAAGTGGAGCATACGTTTTCAAATACCTGCCCCTCTCCTCCCGAATTTCAGAGGAAAGTCGCCGTCGCTAGGGTCCAAGAAAAATACGGGCGTTTATATCGGTCAAATCAAGGGCAAGCCATTTATTGCTTTTGCACGGGGTTGCCCAATCAAGGGACCCAAGCTGTTGTTGAGCTTTTTCGAAGCAATAGGACGCAATACGAAGAAGCAACGCAACTTACCGGATCGAAGCGTTTTACAGTTCGGATTGACGAATTTATATCCCTTATGCATGAGCATGGTCAAAGTCCTTGAAAGTGCGCAAAGGAAGGACGATTTGGCTTTAAAGGGCGATGAAGAATGGACAATGAAAAAAGTCCATTAATTTGGCTGCATTCTTCCTCGAATATCCCTTATGCATGAGCATGGTCAAAGTCCTTGAAAGTGCGCAAAGGAAGGACGATTTGGCTTTAAAGGGCGATGAAGAATGGACAATGAAAAAAAGTCCATTAATTTGGCTGCATTCTTCCTCGAAAGGTCCGTCTCTATTTGGAAAGGCAGCTGCATTTTTTTCACTTTCTCGATCGGACAGGGGCCTGCATAGAGGCGAGTTGGGAGCCGCGCTCTTCGGTGCCTGCGCGGGATTCTTGTTCGCCTTTCTCTTCTTCAATTCCTCCTGCTCCTGCGACCGGTTTCAAACTTTCGCGCTTCTCAGCCATCGGTGAGAAAAATTGAATTTATTCTAAGACTTATTATTATATCGATGAAGCGTCGTTACGGCTGCGATACAAAACAGCAGAGTGGAGCGGGAGCAGGGCCCGGTCCCCCTCGGCGGGGATCCTCCCGCCCTTCGCAGGCGCGGGGTCGAGAAGTACCGGCTGCTGACTCTGACGGGCGACGGGACGTCGTCCGAGGAGAAGAAGGTGCGGGTCCTCTGCTGGGTCATGACCCAGCCGGACAACCACGAGAAGAAGGCCAGGCACGTGAGGGACACCTGGGGGAAGCGATGCGACGTCCTCCTCTTCATGAGCTCCCAGGATGGTCCGGTGAATTGTCGCATTCACCCTTGCTAAAAGAGAAAAAAACGATCCTGATAGGATCATATGAGATTTTTTTAACATAAAATAATATTAAATGATTCTTATTGGAATCCTACAGGAACCCAATCACATTTTATGTTTCAAAAACCGTATGGGATCCTATTGGATTTTCCCGCAATGGTTTTCATATCTCAGTCATCAATATCAGACAAATGAGGGATTTAAGTGCTCGCGCCAACTTAATTCACATAAAGCCGATATGGACATTTCAAACGAAGACTCTTTCGCGGTAGAGATTTAGTAGTAGCCTAAACTGCAACTGTGCCCCGAGACGTTATTATTGACAATTTCGACGTCTCAGTTTCTTTCACTTCATCGCTAATGAACGTAAACAAACATCCAGTTCTCATCAAGGCGTTACAAAGGTTTTTCATTTGCTGAAAACTTCGTTTTTGAGGCGTATTTTACATATATGTTCACCGTGATTGCCAACTCGATAGGATGGGGCGAGGACATAGTTGAATATTTGCAGCCGTTCAGAAAGTAGCTTTCGAGAATGGAATGCCAGAACGTCTTCATCGATGACTATGCAGATCCATCCTTGCCCACCGTGGCATTGAAGGTGGAGGAAGGCCGGCAGCATCTGTCGAAGAAGTCCCACGAGGCGTTCCGCTATATCTACGAGCATCACCTGGACGACGCGGACTGGTTCCTCAAGGCGGACGATGACACCTACGTCGTCATGGAGAACCTCCGCTTCATGCTCCACGATCGCGATCCTCAGGAGGCTGTCTTCTTCGGCAGTCACTTCAAGTATTTCATGAGCGGGGGAGCGGGTGAGCACCTTTCGACGACTCCGTGTGTTGGCGATCGCTCTTTCTCGGATTCTTGGAGGGATCTTGAGGGATTTTTTTTCTTCTTCTTGGAGGATACGTGCTGAGTCGAGAGGCAGTGAAGAAATTCGTGGAGCAGGCCCTGCCCAATCCCGAGTTGTGTCGGCTTGGCAATGCCGAGGATGTGTCCATGTGTCAGTCCCTTTCTTATCCGCATCGATCATCTCCTGTGTATTGAAATGAGTCAGACTCAAGCCAGTTGTTCAAGTTTGTGCGCAGCATTTTGAAATACCGGCTTTAACTAAAGTGGCCGGGAAGCATGATACTGTGGTTTGCTCTATTTCCTCGGCATGCGTATTGGGCACATGGGTATTCTACGTAAATGAAGAGTTGAATGTGACCAAACATATGAACATGCTATAAAGGAAGTACACCTTGTGGAGTCAATGCCACGTCGCATTGATGCAGTTACTTTAGTATAACCAAATATAACGATCCCAAACTTGTAATTTCAAGGCCATTGTTTGTATTTGATCAAGGGAAATTCTCAAACCTCAAACCCTATCAAGTCAAAGCTCCGATATGAGCCTGGTTTGTGGATCTCATGATCAAACAAAGTCCTTAATGGTACTTGATGAAGATTATAACGGAACTACATTTACCACAAACGTTATTGGAAGAGGCCCTAATATCTTCAAGATTTTTTTGGAGGTTATTCATAATTAGAGGAAACTGAGATCTGCATCAATCCGCTTATGTAATGCTAGCTTCTGGCGAAAAACTTGCAGCAAATAAGGGGAAGCGTTGAAACGAAAACCTTCGATTAAGCATACAGGCAACAATAAAGTGTTTTCGAGGTTATCTTTCCTTCACGCCATTTAACTTAATCCCGGAAATTAGAAGCACTGCATAATTTACATGCTAAAAATGTTTCATCGTGTTACCTTGCAGGGCACTGCCTGCACGCAGTGGGAGTGAAAGCGGCCGACGCCCGGGACGAGTTGGGTCGCTGGCGGTTCCTGCCCTTCACCCCAGAGCATCACCTCACCCCCGGCTTCTCCGCCGGCAAGCACGAATGGCTGTGGAGGGACTCGCTCTACCCGTACAGGGAAGGGCCCGAGTGCTGCTCGGACACGGCCATCTCCTTCCATTACATCTCGCCCACCAACATGCACGCTCTCGAGTATCTCATCTACCGCCTGCGTCCCTATGGGGCAGAGTGCGATCGTCCTGGGAATTCGGTCGGNGAGTGCTGCTCGGACACGGCCATCTCCTTCCATTACATCTCGCCCACCAACATGCACGCTCTCGAGTATCTCATCTACCGCCTGCGTCCCTATGGGGCAGAGTGCGATCGTCCTGGGAATTCGGTCGACACGGGCGGGTTCAAGCCGATGCCTTGATCTCAGTGCGTTTAGGTTTTTTCTTTCACGTGGTTATTTATTGTTTTAGATGATTCGTTTCCAAGGAGGTACAATAATATCTGCACATGGGCTTGATTTGCACCAGCGCATCGGCGATTCAAGCAAAGCCGCCGCCGTGCCAACGTTCGGAAGAATTATTCATTTCGAAAGAGGCGCCGAAAATATGTCACATAATAATGCCCAAAGAGATTAAATGTAACTAAAAGGCATTTCGCCCGGATTCTCGAGAGAAGCGAGACGTGTGTCGCTGAAGAGACAACCGCCATTCAATGTGCAACAGTGTTCGAACCGTTGTTCCATTCGAGAGACTACAGAGACCTTCGAGAACGAGGGCATAAGCCTGGATGGACAGTCCGTCACCACCACGACCGATGGTGTCACCGTGCCATCGTCACAGTCATCGACCCTTCGAAAATCCCCAACACTCCAAAAAGCTGGTTGCGGTGCCTTTTTGTTCAACTGCATAAATAGGCTCTGGCATAAAATACCAATTTTTCCCACCTACGTTTCAGCTTCCGGCCTTTTATTTCCACTATTTATTTATATATTTATTTCCATGATCCCATCGAGACTTCATCCGTAATGGTTTTCCCGTGGAACCCATTGCAGGTTGATTCACCTGGTTCCTTTAAATCAGGTGAAAATCAGGTTGAGAAAATTTTTGCCATACCTCCAAGGTTTGGCAAAAAAATTGCCGCCGATTTTTAACCGGTTCATCTCTGCTCATGCTGGACCAACTTTCAGTTTGCAGATTTCGATTTTTTTTTCTATCCACAATTTGCATGCAACTTCTCCATCGATTTCCATTTTTTTTTTTTAGGATGGCCATTTCGCCGTAGAAACTTTAGAATTTCTTTCCGTTTAATGACAAATGAGTCAGCAGGCATCGAGAAGTCGTCGCTCGATGTTTGCTATAATGTTCTCCCATGTCTTCGTCAAAGATATTGGCATGCCAATATCTTTGACGAAGATATTGACTTGAAATTTTCGGTGTTTTAAATTGGAGCCTATCCAATGTCAATGTCGGATAACCTTGGAAAAGTTATTCATCAGCTTGCTTTGAACTAAATGCCAAATCCATTTGAAATAAATGCCAAATCCATTTGAATTAAATGCCAAATCCATTTGAAGTAAATGCCAAATTTCGGTTTGGATTCATACACAGTGCAAATCGTGTGAAAATGGCTCCATTGAGAGAAGAGACAGGTCAAAAGCCGTTGTCAGTTTGTTTTGGTCAAACTCTTTTTCTCCTTTGCCTTGCTTGTCTATGCACCATCTGGAATTCCCCCCAAAATCCGTATGCAAATGTTCTTAGCTATCTCGACACGTAGCTTCTCCTGAAGAAACTTTACCTGCTTGCGAAATATAGACCTAATAATAAATCATAAATAATAATAGACCTTTTCGATCGCTTTCTAACGCGCGCATTTGGCTTAGCCAGATCCTTTGCATTTTCGTGCATTGCGTTTATTGTATTATTTGAATTCTCTGCTGAACCATTTCTCTCAGCCATTCCAAATTTGGAATGATTCTGGACCATCAGGAAAAGTGGCGAGTGTGGTAGTGAATGGTTTTGTGGTCCAAAACCCTTTCTACCATCGAATGAGACATTTTACCTTTTTCTTCGAAATACCCATTTACAAATGCCCTCGTAGCACGCGATGTCGTCAACAACGATTTTTGATGAGGGACGACTGGTCCACCGACGACGAATCGAAAATTCATTGTCGTTCCTTGTTGTAATGGATTCCTGAATCGATTAGCTGGTGAGCTCATCAGCGGTTTTATTTTCATGATGGCAAATAATATGAAATGTAAGTGCGACAATGCTCTAGATAAACTTCTGTGTGGAGCTGTAGGCTCTCAATAAATACTATAATGAATAATTCCCGGAAGGCCCATTCATCACGCCTGCAATGCGTATGTACGGTTCGATTTCCATTCGAAAGCAAAGGCCAAAAAAGAGATGAACACCTGAGGGGAAGCTGATGATGAAGTGTCATAATTGCACATCTCTGAGGAAATTGCGCGGTACAGAATTTCCTTTTAGGAGGCAATCATATCCTTTTTTAATAAATAGGGGAGTATTATCATATTATTATCATGAGCTACCCGAGTATTTATCCTGATTAGATGCCAAGGAGAAAGTGAATTCTAGGAAATTCACCTGGTGAATTCCGTAAATTAACCTGGTGAATTCCGTAAATTCACCTGGTGAATTCCGTAAATTCACCTGGTGAATTCCGTAAAATTCAACTGGAGAATTCCGTAAAACTCAACTGGTGAATTCTAGGAAATTCACCTGGTGAATTCTAGGAAATTCACCTGGCGAATTCCGTAAAATTCAAATGGTGACTTTTGTAAAGTAGAACTATGACCGATCCCCGATGCATGGAAATTGAATGATGCTACGACTTTGCAGGACTTCCCCCCCCCCCCTAGTTCTTCAGTGTGTCCGAATAGTCAGGAATCAAAATCATTTGGTGAACATTCGGAGCATGTACAATAGATACTTGATATTGTAAAATAAATTTCCATTGATTCCTGACTTTACGGACACCCTGTTCAGCAGAATCCCAGATTCAGTCCCAGCTTGCGATCGTGGACCGGACCCAGCCTGCGAACGCGGAGGTCCTCGTGTATCCGCGAGGGAGCGAGGAGGTGCAATCCTCCACCTGGCGGTACGAGTCCACCCCGGCGACGAAGGCTCGACCGCTGTGACGCACCACCAAGGGTCCTCCGCTGCCGCCCTGTGCAGGTGGATCGGGGGGGGGGGGGGGGGAA